GCTCACATACTCTTTTACTCTCTTCTTACAATACTGCTTCACTGCATCCAGGAGGCTGTACACCAAGAATGTTCAAGTCACCTCCTTTGTGCTATCTCATGGCCAGTTGGAGGATGGCAAGTTGACCAAAGTGTTCCCATAATTTGGACCCACCTTACACAGAGCAATGTTTCTTAAACTTTTATGAGTCATGAACTCCTTTGGAACCTAATGAAATATACACGTGCATTCCCCAGAAAAATCCACCCTGTGCCCTGCAAATGCATAGTTTTAGTGACAACTTCATAGAGGACATACTTCCACCCAAAATCCATCTTCTGGGCCTTCTGGAAGTTAACAGACCCCAGGCTAAAAACCCCTTGACCTGTCATGACAATCTCATCATTGTAAACATGGCTTAGAGATAAGCAAATGTCGTGTCCCATGACAAACATCCCACAAACATCCCGGGTCATTCCAGGTGAACTGGGCTGGCACGAAATAATCACTCAGAGACAGAGAAATACCTTCTTCTTTGGGTCCTGTGACAGCTCCTCCGACCTTAGGGGTATCCGAGCTGGGACAACACCCAAGTCACCACGAAATCTAGTGATTGGTCAGAGCCCGGTGCTTCAGGACAGGAAAGCGTGGTCATTCGGAGCGACTCCCCACAAATAAATGCTAAATGATCTCATTGCAGAAATGAAAATTGGTGTCATTTCAAATCCTTGAGGTCCCTCCACCATTACTTTGTAGACAAGTATAATTCTCTATCCCTTTATATTTTAAGATATGTGTAGGAGAGGAGATTCTTCTTGTGTAGAGACAGATAAAAGATTTATTCCTGCAGACATTTTGTGCAGAGCATTACTCTAGGAAATTGAGTTTCCTTTTTTTTTTTTTTCTCCTGAGATTGAACCCAGGACCTTATGCATGCTAGGCAAGAGCTCTAGTGCCGAGCTACCCACCAGCCCTTGAATTTCATTTTGTAAGTTGATTTCCTCAAACCACACACTGAGGGCTGAGGAAGGACAACCAAAGGTATGAGTATCAGTGATCATGAAACTTTAAATAAGGCCATTATTACCTGAGTGTAGACAGGTAGAAGTAGCAGCCATTTGATTTTACCTACCCCAGCTTTGGTTTGGTTTGGCATATACTCTACTTATCTCTACAAGTAACTAGAAAGATCCTTTAATGTAAAATTGGACATACAATTGTTATTTATCAGTGATAATTATAAAATTTATTGAGCACTTATCTTTTTTTCCCCTACAGCTTTATGTTGTTCTCCTGTACTCCTCACTTCAATCCCAAGAGTTGGACACTACTATTACTCCCTTTTTATAGATGGAGAAATTTGCTTCTATTCAGAGTTAATAGGTGTCAGAACAAGGATTCCATGTGGGCTTCCTGACTTCAAAGCCCAAAGCCCATCCTCTCAGCCTCGTGCTTGTCCAATCCATGATCTATTGTCAAATCTTGCTGAGAGACTCTTTGGGGTGTTCCATCCTGGACTTGTTCCATCCTGCTCCAGGCTCAGATGTTTAGGTCCATTTTATTTTGACTCATTGCTCAGTAAAACTTGCTTACTCGAGCTTTGCTCTGGTCCCAGTTTTTCTTAGCTTCATCCAGGCTCTTGCTAAGAAGTGCTGACCCCTCCCTGATCTCAAACCATCTCTGGCCTGGGATGGCTGCCTTGCACTCAGCAATGGGAACACTTTGCTTCATGGACTCCCTGTGCACTTATTTCTGTCCTTCCTGGGTCTCTGCTCTCTGTTCAGGCTGCAGGAATCAGAAGGCACAGTTCCTATCTCCACTTTCTCAGGAAGAGGAAGTTCCTGATGGGGTCCTGGCTGAAGCAGCTCTTCCTGTATTGAAATCTTTTGTGTATTTTCGTTGACGATTCTGTGTCATCACACAAGCAGCGGAGGTGGTTAGCAGCAACATCCATTCATTCATGACACATTTATCAAGCACCTATTTATGTTCCAGGCACTGTGCTGAGTGTTGGGGTTGCCATGGCGACCAAGAAAGAACTTGTTCCTGCTTTCATAGTTTACTGTTTTGGAATGAATCAGGCACAGGAAAAGGCAATTGCAGTACAATTTGACAAAGATTCTAAGGCAAATARCAAGTATTTTGAGAGCACATAAAAAGAGGTACCTACTCCAGACTTGAAGGACGGGGCAGAATACCTGGAGGAAGTGTTATCTGACATCTGAAGTTCAACTAGAAGAAATGAGGCAGGCGAAGCGGTTGGTGGTTGGGTAGCAAGAAAAAGAAAGAATGTTCTAGAAAAAGGGAATAACAAATTCAAAGGCCAACAGGCAGAGGAAGCTTGCCCAGCCTGGGCAGCACAATTAGCACAGGATTGGGCAGCACAATTAGCACAGGATTGCTGAAGTAGAGTCTGAAGCAGGGTGTGAACAGGCAGGAAGCTGGAGAGGTGTGGATCTGAAGGGTGGCTGTCATGTAATCTCTCTGCGTCACATAGATACCACTTTACAAACTTGTCTACCACAGCGCTTGGATATTCACTGCAGGGGATGGGACTGAAGACTACATTGTGCTGAGTCCTGCTGAATGTCGGAGACAATACTGATTTCAGAGATCTTWGACTCTGGACCCCAGTTCATGCCACTTAGGGGTTCCAAGCAGCCAAGTGCCTTTTCCCCCAGGTAGAACACCTTCTGGCTCAAGACTTGACAGAGTCTTCCTCCTACTGCTGCCAGCTGTGCTTTCCTCCCCCCAAATTGGTGCCCCTGATCAATGTGCCTTGGCTGCTGTGGCTTCCACAGGCGGGACTGTCATGGTCAAGGTTGCTGCTCAGAACAGAGTCAGACCCTTATTTGCCAGCAGCCTACAGGTAGAGGTGGTTATCTTCATTGATGCAAATGGGAACACGAAGGCTCAGAGACATTAAATCACTTGTCACAAGCCACCAAGCTATAAGTGGTGAGCAGAATCTGGAACTGGCCTGATACCAAAGCCATTATAATTACACAAGAGTTTCTCCTTCCCTGTCGGCATTAAAATTCTTATTACAATGTCTCAGATATGCTGTCAGGTTCCTTATCTACCCTTTTCTTGATTGCAACTTTCCTGAAGGTTGGATTCGAGGCCTTGGAGGGGCCTTTCCAAGAGTTTCCCTTCAGTTTCCTGGCTGGGAAGGACCAAATCCAGCCACCTCACCTCCACTGCCAGTGTTGTTATAAGACTCACAAGAGCCTGCTTCATCCAGTTCCATCCCCAGAATTTGAAACAGCCTTTCATGCCACAGTTTGATTAAGGGAATAGCAATAATTTCTGTTCCCCTCAGAGGAACCCATAATTTTTTAAGAAAAACAATTTCTTTTTAGGTGACCCAYTGTGTATCTGAGCATCTTAACTGTGCTATTTCAGTGAGGTTCCTTGTCTTCCTACCCAGACTCCCACTGTGTGCTGTTTTCTGTTTATATTCATTTCTGTCACTCTCATTACCATTTTAATGCTCAATTTCCATGCTAAATGAAATAGGTTTCTCTCTCTCTCTCTCTCTGTTCCCTCCTTTCAATCACCAGTAAAGCCAGTGACAAGTCTTGTGGATTCTGCCAATGGAGATGAACGTGTTCATTAGCTAAAGCTCCAGCTTCAGACTAGCGTCCTAATGAATCACCAGGCTTTTATTACGTCTCTGTGCTAAAAGCATAGTTCTCTCTGCAGCCAGGTGGCTCTGGCTCTGCGCTCCTGAAGGTAATCTGGACCCTGTCACCAATTACTCTTCTCCTTCCTGGCAGCAAATAGAAAAGGCAATTTTCAAATTGTTTCTATTGATCACAGGGCATTTTCTCCAGAATATCACTTTCTATATAAAAGGGCCCAGGATTATTTCCAGTTAACATAGCCAAGAAATTTTAGAGACAGAAGGCAATTTACATAGTGGTCACTTTATAATTTGGAGTCAACAAAYTTGAGTGTGAATCCTAACTGTCTTTTACTACTATGAACTAGAGGAAGATGTTAAATCTCTTTGAACCTCAGTTTTTCCCTCTGTAAACCAAAAGTATTAGTGCACAGATCTGTTAAAAGGATTAGATTAGTAGGAATTACCTATACAGAGAAAATTAGCATAGTTTTGACTCAGAAGTTTCTTTTTTTTTTCCTACTTATCATTATCACTAGGAAGGTCATCTACCTGTCTGTCTTCAGGGTAATCTGATATATTTCACTTTCTTTTGGGATTTTTTTTTCTATATAAGTTCCCATTCTTCCTCAAAGATAGGATGTGATATTGCTTTCATAACTACTCTGGATCTTTTATAATTGAATGATAAAATTAAAGCTTAACACTATGGAGATTCTTCAGAAAACTTAGAATGGAAACAAGTTAAACTTGGCTATCCCACTCCTCGATTTATACCCAAAGGACTTAAAATCAGCATACTACAGTGACACGGCCACATCAGTATCTATAGCAGCTCAATTTACCATAGCTAAACTACGGAACCAACCTAGGTGCCCTTCAGATGAAGGGATAAAGAAAATGTGGTATATATACACAATGGAATATTACTAAGCCTTAAAGAAGAATGAAATTATGGCATTTGCTGATAAATGGATAGAGCTGGAGAATGTCATGCTAAGTGAAATAAGCCAATCTCAAAGAACCGAAGGCTGAATGTTTTCTCCAATATTCGGATGCTAATTTACAATAAGTGGGGTGGGATAGGGAAGAATAGAGGTACTTTGGATTCAGCAGAGAGGAGTGAAGGGAGAAAGGGGGTGTGGGAGTAGGAAGGATAATAGAATGAATTGGACATTATGATCGTATGTGCATACACGACCAATGTAATTCTACATCATGTACAATCAGAAGAATKCGAAGGTATGCTCCATTTATGTATGATGTATCAAAATGCATTCTACTGTCATGTATAACTATTTAGAACAAATAMAAAAATTAAAGCTTAAAGAAATTTTAGTTGACTTTTTGTTTTTATTTAGCCTTCTTCAATAAGATGATTATGTTTTCATTACAGAACGATGAAGTGGAGTTTGTGCGAACGGGCTATGGGAAGGATATGGTAAAAGTTCTCCACATTCAACGAGACGGAAAATATCACAGCATTAAAGAGGTGGTGACTTCAGTGCAACTTACTCTGAGTTCCAAAAAGGATTACCTGTATGGAGACAATTCAGACATCATTCCTACAGAYACCATCAAGAACACAGTTCATGTCATGGCAAAGTTCAAAGGGGTAGGCATCTTCATAGGTGCTGCCAATGTAATGTAGAATTCACTGTGAGACAGCTTGGGGGTGTTGCTTGATTTTTAAAGTTTTCATTACTTTTTCACCTATTTTTTGACATTTAAGCCATTTTTAAGATTTTCCTTTCTACCACAAGATTCTCAGTCTTGCAAAAAAAACCCACTTATATTTGCTTTTTCTTTCTCCCTTTTCCTTCCTTCCTTCCTTCCTTCCTTCCTTCCTTCCTTCCTTCCTTCCTTCCTTCCTTCCTTTCTTTCTTTCTTTCTTTCTTTCTTTCTTTCTTTCTTTCTTTCTTTCCTCTCCTCTTTATTGTCTCTTCTTCAATCTTTTAGACTAATAATCTTATAGAACAAATCAACATGTTATTGCTAATTACAGGGAAATCAGAATCCTGGGAGGATTTTAGAATGCAATTTAACACACTTTGTCATTTCTTTCTTTGAGCCCTATCATTTATTGTTTCTTTTAGAATAATGTGAATTTATAGTAGAAGGTAACATTTCTCTTCTTGTTACCCGGAAGAACATCTTGAGAATGAGATACATTCCTTTTTTATTGTTGAAATCTACTTTCCAGATTTTAATGCCTTCCTAGCTTACTCCTTTACCACTTACTTTCCACAAGTGGTGGTTAATTGTACTCTTCAAGAGTGACCTAGATCTGATAGAACATGATACTTTTATATTTCCACCTCCAGTTTCTTCAAATGTGAATGGAGCTGTGCTGGTGAGCAATTCTAAATAAGTATTTATTTGCCAAGAAGTCTAAAAGGCAAGAAATATAGACTCAAAGCTTATTTTTTTGCATGAAATCTATAACACATTAAATGAACATACTAATTGCAATATAATTGCTATAAGGCCTATTTCCACTCTGAACCTTTCTCTTGCAAATCACAATGGCCCAACAAAAGGAAAAGGCTATGGAAAAAGAAATTGCTCTTAAAAATTTTTTTGAATATAGGCCTATATTCTGATATGGAAAAGGGCCAGCTACCAGAGTTTCCTGTATTTTCTGTTCTGGAGAAAAGTGAAGGAATGGACCTGAATGTTAAAGCAATTTAAGTTTATTCATTAGAGATGGAGTGACCATATAATTCCTTATCTAAACCAAGATACTTTTGAATGTGAAATGAGATGCTATTAATAATTATGCTGGGACAAATACAAAACAGAATTATGTTGGGGAAACCTTCAAATAGACAACCTTAATTATATATAAAGCTATTAGTAATTCACAGACCATGCTAGCACTTTAAAATATTGTTTGGAGATTAATATAGAGAATTTGTGAGAACATGGTGAACAGATTTCTGGGAGGGCAAAGCTGGGGATTATCAACAGAAGACCCATTTTCAAGGCAAAGCAGGTGAGATATTTCTTCATTGATATTTTTCCATGGGGAACCAGCAGACCCAGTTGCAGTGTTATGGAGGGTGCTGTGATTGGTGTAGGTGATAATTGAGTTTACTATGAGAAAAATCTGAATGACAAGTACCTTTTTGCTCATCCACTGCTATGTCCTCTCCTGAAAGACAGGTTTCTTTAAAAAACAGGTCGGACTCTCAGCTGGGGATGGTAATCTATGAACACTTGGGAGCTCCAGTGAGAACTTGGTATAGGGATCAGTTTGTCTTTCTAATTCTTTTTCTTTTATTCTATAAAGCAACTGACCAGGATAGAGCTCAATRAGTATTTTTTAAAATGTTTTTAAATGGGGAAAGTATTTGTGATCACTAGCATTTTGTTTCTTTTTACAGATCAAAACCATAGAAAACTTTGCTTTGAATATCTGTGAGCATTTCCTTTCTTCTTTTAACCATGTCCTCCGAGCTCATGTCTACATGGAAGAGATCCCTTGGAAACGTTTTGAAAAGGTTATCTCAGTCATTTATGGTCCTGATTTAATTAAAGAGATTGGCTTTGTTATATATGCTAAAATTTTATTGAAACCAAAATTTTCCCTAATTTTCAGAATGGAGTTAAACATATTCATGCATTTATTCACACTCCCACTGGAACACACTTCTGTGAGGTTGAACAGATGAGGAACGGTAAGAAACCATTTTTTTTCTGTTTTAATTCTGTGAAGGCAATAGCATTTTATTTTTGGTYGTCTAAACAATTCTGTTTATTAACATGTATAAAAGCTGTAGAGAACATTTAAGAATTTTAAATCTGAAATGGGAATGAACATTGTGACTTTGGATTACATTAAAGAAYTATCTACTTTTGCTTGAAAATATAAAAGTGGAACAATTAATTTTGTAACACAATCTGGAGGTTGAGTGAGACAGATGATTTTCGTTATCCAATTTTGAGGTGAGGTGGGGGGGGGCCCAAACTGACAAAAACCCAAATCTCTGAATTTTCTCATCAATATTTTTTTGAACCATATCATGCTATAATTACAGTAATTTCTATAGGAAATAATTACTAAATAACTGTTAAGTTTTCTTGACACTTTATTTGTATAATAAACTGTTGATAATAATGAATCTTATTTAAAAAACAATAACCATTATATAATTCTAGTTACCAAGAAATTTATAAATTAATGGTAGAACATTATTACAATACAGACCTAATGAGTACTGATAATTAAGTGGAGCAAATATTAAAATCCCCAAATTCATATTCCAATAATTTTTTGAGGATGTCAGAGCAGAGTTAAATAATCCACTATGATTTAGACAAGACGACTTCTAAAACCATGGAGCCAAAGGTGGAAGAAATATCTCTATCCCAATTTAAAAAGTAAGCTTCAATGATCATCATAAATTCATAGCATAGGCTCTGAACATTTTTTCTGAAATTCTCTTTCCTTTTTGTCTATGTCTCTGATATCATTCTTCTCTAGCCATCTTCAGTATGAATTTGAGATGGCATCTGAGAGATGTCTGAAATACTATAAGGTCAATAAAATGAAAGGTCTCTTTTCATTCTGAGTTGTATTGGAAAATACCCCTTTTAGAAAGTTCTGGTATACTAGCTATCATTTAATATTTTTAACACAATTCAAAGTCTAGATATAGGTAGGGCCTTCTCAGTGTTTAGTTATGGTTACATGAAAGATTAAACAGCTGTATTAAGTTGAAAGAAATGATTTTTATCCTCTGTGAAGTTGCATCATATAACTCTGTGTGTTGGGTTAAAATGGAAATAACTTCTGTTCTTCCTACCTTCTACTCCTCCTCTTTTTCTTCCTCTTTATCTTCCTTCTTTCCTTCCTTCTTTCTTGCCTTAGGAGGAGAGAGAAGAAACTTTTCTTGACTGTTAGGCCAGTGTTTTCCTACCCAAACCACAGTGACTACCCTCATAAAACAGAAACTGTGAACCAGCTCTGTCTAACTGAAATAGACTTCAAATAACATACATAATTTAAAATTTTTCTAGTAATCACACTAGAAAAACAAAAAAAAAATGAGAAAAATTAAATTTGATGATATATTTCATTTGACCCAAAATATCAAAAATATCTTTATGCAATAAATGTAAAAATAACAAGTGAAATTTTTTACATTCTTTAAAAAATATTAAATGTTATCTCAGTGGCTTAGGAGGCTGAGGTAGGAAAATCACAAGTTCAAAGCTAGCCTCAGCTAGTTAGTGAGGCCCTAAGCAACTTAGCTAAGACCCAGTCTCAAAAACAAAACAAAACAATTAAGTCTTTGAAATCCTGTGTATATTTTATATGTATAGCACATCTTAACTCATACTCATCATATTTCAAGTGCTTAATAGCCACATGTGGCTAGTGGCTACTTTATGGATCAATGTATCTCTCAACTGGTTTTCAAAGATGTTCAGGACACTGAGCACAGTCCTCATTTCATTTTCAGTTATATAAAATAACAGCAGGGGATAGAAGTAGACTTCAGGAAAGCTGATTAAAAAATTTTAAAAATTTATGAAATGTTTATGTAAAGAGTTTATGTCATTCATTCCTATATCATTCATTCAGCCATTAGATTTTAGACACATATTACATGCACAAGGGACTGTAGATAAAGAGATGAGCATTGCTGATGCTATTCCTGACCCTTGTAAGTTTACAGGAGATGAAGGGAGCCAGATCTATGAACAGATTCACTGCAATATGAGGGACTAAACACCACAACCTAGGGATTGAAGGAATGGTAAGGGAACAAAAAGCACAAGAAAGTAACTCTGCCCGGGAAAGCCGGGAAGTCTGACAAKGGAGAGGAAATATTCCAAATGACTTTTGAAAAATAATTCAGAACATGCTGGGCATGGAGAAAGGGGCATATAGGGAGAAGAAATGGGACATATACAGGTAGGATTCACAAAGAGGAGTAGAAGAAGAAAATTGAAATGTTTTGAGCACCAGCCTTAGGCAGAGCASGGTGTTAGGCAAATATTTGATTGTTGAAAAGACAAAACATTTGAGGAACAGGAACAGGTTCAGTGGGTCTGGTTCCTAGAATGGAAGAGGTGGAGATGAGGATGAAGAAGTTGGCCCAGATTGGACTCTGAAGGGCTTTATGGGCTGTATTAACAAGTTTAGTGTAAGTCCAGGGCATTTTCCCCCCACAGTGGTTAAGCCCAGAGATCTTGGGGGCAGGATGAATTCTCTGAGCTCTACTAGCTAATAATTTTGTGGTCAGGAACAAGTGAGTTATACAATTTAAGTGAGTTTTTATTCGCAACATGTGGATGCCAGCGGCTAATCTATAATTGTCCAGAGAAATGAATGAGACAAGTATTAAATTAATTTTATTAATTTTATTAGAGCACTTAGTACAGTGCCTGGCCCACAGGAAGCTCTGCTTAGATAGTAGCCATAATTATTGCTTAGTATGACAACGGAGAACCACAGGAATCTTTAAGGGTCAGATGAGTGAGTGACGGTGCGTGCATGTCTGTGCTTTTGTTCAGTAACTCTGACCAAGTTCTGGTGAACAAGGCTGCCGGAGAAGGAGGCAGCAGTGAGACATTTGGAGAGACGAAGATGTGATGGGGTCTGAACGAAGGCAGTAGAAGTAGAGACGGAAAGATTCAGAGGTTGCTGTGGGCATCCTGTGAAGACGTGTGCAGTGGTAACCAGTGGGTCTCAGTGTTTGGGTAGGGCTGGGAGGTTGGAGGGAAGGAGGAAATAAAGAAGCCCCCAAAGGGGGAGGGCTGAGGAATCAACTAATGATATAGAYGAGAAGGATGTTTATGGGGGAGGGTGGTGAGTTTCAGAGTATGAGATAGAGAAATATTTGGGGACCATCAGCACACTGAGAGATCAAACTTAGGAAAAGAGGCTTTTCCAGAAAAGCACATTAGGTGAGAAGAGGAAAGATGAGGGCCTGGCAGAAATTCCTTAGGTGAAGTTATGGGCCATTCAAAGAGTGAGACAGGAGAATGGTCAGAGAGGAGGTATGGGGCAATGATGTCATGAAAGCAGAAGAAAAAAAATATAATTCAAGAAATCAGGGACAGAAGGCATAACATATTTGTCTGTATGTAATAGCTCATCGCAAGAAGCTTCTTTTTGTATAAGTCAAGTTCAGTGTTCCTTTGTGGGAGCTCTGCTCCATGAAGTTATTCAGAAATCCAGGCTAAGGACAACTTTATATTTTTAGTCTTTACTTTTTGGGGTTACTTGGGAGTTGATTCCTTTGCCAGGCAACTAGGAGAGGGAGAGGTGTTGGAGGAGAAAAAGGAAGGGGCAATGCCTCTCCAGCATCAGCACCAGGCCGGAAATGACACAGTGGCACAGAGCACTTTTACTGGGGAGGGTCAAGGTCACATAATCACTCAGATTGCAAGAGAGGCAGCAAAATGCAGTCTATTGTGCYCAGGAAGAAGAGGAAACAATTATGTCTCTGCCACAGGAGGGTTAAGAAGTTTGGAAGTTAAGAAGTTAAAAGAAGACCCAAACAACTAAAAAACTCTGCTATTAGCAAATAGACATCATTGGTGACTTTTACAAAAAAAGTCGAAGTGAACTGGCCAATGATCTGTTGACCATTAAAAAAAAAAAAAGCTTTTTTTTTCCCCAGAATTACTTGGAATTATTATCCCCCTGAATTCTAATAACTTAGCTACTGTAGAATGGAAAACCTAACCAGGGCCATCAGGTTAAATCTTTTCTTCCTGCAGAAAGCTATAGAGCTTCTGGGGACTGGGGTCACTATAGCCTTGTTCCCAAAGGCTCCAGATTGAATCATCTAGAGCCTGGCCCTCCTCTGAGGTCATGTASGGCTGGCAGGGATCAGGGTATGGAGGAGGCATCTTTTGCCCTAAGTATACACAGGTACATGTGTGCACAAGTATGTGAATGTGTGTGTCTTCCGGGGTTGTGATACAAGGAAAATGTTTGTACACGTCCCTCTTTGGAGAGTAGGGATATATTTTTTTTGATAGCCAAGTTTAATTCTTAATTTGCTTATTATCTAAGAGCTAAAACTGCAGGAATTGTGACCATGAGTCAATATTATAAGCATTGTCATAAGAAATGCTGTTGTGTGGGTTTAATAGAAGAAAATAATCATCATCTTAAACACACACACACATCAACTCCAATTGTGAAGGCTGCTGTTACAAACCTGAGTATTGTCTTTTATGGGGGGCTGACTAGATCATGAGAATTCTTCCCCCTCAAACACACACACTTAGTCACTCATTCCACGATTCAACTCCCAAAAGAGATTTTTTTTCCCAGCAGGATATGTCACTGGGCTTCTTCTGATAGAAGGGGTTCACTGCTATCTATCAACGATCAAATAGTTGTAGAAAGCCTACTGAGTCTCTGGTGCCATTTTAGGCCTTGGGAATTGCTCTAAGCCTCTCATTACATGATTTCCTCCTAGGGAATCTTGAAAGCCATGTCATTGAGCTGTATTTTTAGGTATTCCAAAGTCTTCTGGTTCATTGAGTAACTCTTGATGAGAGAAAGAAATTTGTTGACCTGAACAGCTGAGGGCTGCTCTTGTGTTGGTGACTTTCCCAATCTTGAGAGGGGAGCTGGGCTCTGCAGATGTGATGCAATCTGTTGGGTGAGGTGTCATACAGAATCTGGATCTTCGACTTTCTCGCAGTGTCTCTGTTGGAACTACAAGCTTAGCTGAGCTTTGACATCACTGGGGTGGTTGAGTCACTAATGAACTTAATCAGCCTGAAACCTCTGCACTGTTTGTCTTAGAATTCATAATTCTTTATGCATCACATTTCTCCTATTCTGACACTAATTATAAAAATTCAGCTAAAGCATAGCTAAATAGAGAAATGGAAGATGGAGTAGGGATCTCAAGTAAGAGATACCGTCTTCTAGTAGTAAAGAAAAAAAATCACGTGATTCTGCAATCTGCATTTGGGGTAAAATTGGGAGTTCATAACCCACTTCAATCTAATGTATGAAATATGATATGTCAAGAGCTTTGTAATGATGTTAACAACCAATAAAAAAAAGAAATAAAAAAAAAGAAATTCTCATACCTTGTGGGTAGGAATGCAAATTCCATCAAACACTTTGGTGACAATGACAGCATCGAAGTTGAATACGTACATATCCTATAACCCTGCAATTCTAATTCTAGGTACACAACCTGTGGCAACACACAATGTGTAAGGAGAAACAAAAGAATGTAAAAAAAAAAAAAAGAAAAAAGAAAAAAATAGCAACACACGGTTAATTGATGTGAAGGGGTGGTGTTATGGCAGGGGGCTGATGAAATCAAAGTCCAGGAGGAGAACAGATTTAAGAGGTGACAAGCTTGACAGGTGGGGAGGGGAGAACCAGGGTGGAGATGGACTCTGCCAAGGAGCCTATTGATGTCCTTCTGGTATCAAGATGCAAGGTCTTCAGTTTCTCCATGAGAAAAGTTCTTGGCAGACCAAGGTCTTACAATCGCCTTAATTATTTCTTAGTTGTACCAAAGCCTGACTTCCTCCTGTCCAGGTGATGTCATCCCTCCCCATACAGAGTCACAGGGAAGGGGCTTTCATGCACGTTGCATGAGCTAAATGGACTCTCAAAGGCAAATGCAATTTAATTGATCTTCCTTTTTTTCTAGCACTTTACAAGTTTGAAATATTCTAGTAGAATGATTTATATAGTTTTAAAATATCCTCCTTTTAGCTATTTGTGTCCTTTTTGGAGGTGTTAAATGTGGAAGCAATTATCCTCTTCATGACAGTTTTTTTTTTTTTTTTCTTTCTTGGCTCAGTAAAGCTTTGTGCTTTGTGACACCTGATGCGTAGGTAAAGGATTGGGCTTATTTTCTATTAATTTGCTGTGAGTTCTTTCCCTTTGAGAGCTAAAGGGTAGATGTATGCTTCTCTAAGAGATAAACTGCAGTCTGTTAAGTGTGTAGGAGGACACTAAGAGCTAGAAAAGATTATGTTCTAGCAAAGTAAAATGTGAAAAATCTTCCTTTCRCATTACTCCATAACCATGGCAGAAAGGAGGACAGAAGAGCTGATTAAGTGGTTTCACAGGAAGTAACCTAGAAAAGGACAGTCTTCTTGGTTGGATTACTTCTTGTTAGTCTAAATTGGAATCTCTTGGAGTGCGTGTGAGGCATCATATTTTTAGTTGATGGCCCCATGAATTTGAAAGCCTCAGGTCCCTACCAGTGTTTTGGAAGCTGGGGCACTGCCAAACAGAGGAGATAAAATAAGCTCTCTGATTTCATCCAGTGTGTCTAATGTGTGCCAAGAAAAAAAATTMTTTTAACTTTGAAGAGAATAGTTTTTTGTTGTTGTTGTTCATGAAACGATGGGAGCACCAGAGGAGATGGTTTGTGCTCTGCCAAAACTTGTGGCAACAGTTAATTGTTTGGGGGAACATGAGATATTTTATGCTGTGGGAAACTGTTGCCAAAACACACTACAAATGCAACCGTTTTCTCCATTTTCAGACTCCAGTGAAAAAACAGTAGATCGTTTTAAAGTGGCCTAGGGAGACTGAYACTCCTCTGATATCAATAAATCTCATCTCAGGGCTGGCAGTGGACTGGATGGCACAGGAGAAGTAGTTTTCAGAACCCAGTGAGGCTTTTGAAAAGCATGGGAAACATTTACAGTTGGTTGAAGTCAGTAAGAAAAAGTCAGTTTTGGCAAAATCACCGCAATGACTTACAGAGTACCTTCTATATGCAGCTATCTATTAAGCCCTTCATATGCATTGTATCGACTCCAGGGAACAGGTATGATTGTCATCTCCATTTTACAGGTGAGAAAAATAAGGTAGAAAGAGGTTAGGTAATTTCTTCAAGGTTATAGTGCTCATAAAATGGGAGGTTGAAGAACCAGGAAAAAACTGAGATTTGAATTTAGGGAAATCTGAGTCCCAAAGCTGCAGAATCCACAACCACTTTGCAATGCTGCATTCAGGAATCCTTCTATGAATAAGCCCACTGGACAAGCCAAAGTCTAATTGGATTACCAGATGCAGACAATCAAGGCCAGCTATATTGGAAAAGATGATGYAGGTTAAGATTGTCTTTGGTTATTGTTCACCTTTTTATCCCCATCCCATGGTTTCTACTACTTGTTTTAACTCCACTCTCAATTGCAAACCTATGTTTTATTCCTATAGGATTTTTTTTCTAGGAGGATTTACTACTAGAGGTACATTCTATTTATTTACAAATGCTAAAGACAAATTATTATTATTATTATTATTATTATTATTATTATTATTATTATTATTTTGTGGTGCTGGGAATTGAATCCAGGGCCTTGTGCATGCGAGACAAGCACCCTGCTTACTGAGCTATATCCCCAGCCCTGAAGACAGAAATTTTTAAGGAATAAGAGCATTTCCAAGATAGAAGCCATTTCTAAAACTGATGCTTCAATCTCCATTTCAGATCAACAAAAATTGTATTTTCAGGCTGGGACCAGAGGCCCTCAAAGAATACAGGAAAATGAGAGGCAGCCACCTTTTCATCTCTTGGAAAGGCCTCTTACAGTACAGAAATGGGGAAAAAGAGTTAAAGGGAAGAGAAAACATTGCACAGATGGAGAGTGATATAAAAAGGGGGCAGAAAAGCATGGAATCTCATATGTGGTGCTGAATTTAAACTCCACCTCTGCCAGCTTCTAGCCATGTGACTATGGGCAGATGAATAAAAATCACCTGCATAAAAATACCTACTTTCTAAACTTCTGAGGATTAAGTAAGATAAAGACTGAAAAAGGCAACAGCCAAAGGCATGATAACTACAGACAGGACATTTTCAGCCAATATTGATCCTCCTCTCCTCTCCCCTTTCCACATGGTGTGTGAGAGTTGAAAGGAATCAGGAAGAGAAACAGGGAAAAATTGAGGGAAGTAAACTGTCTAGAAGAGAAAAAGACTAAGCTGTGAAACTCTTATTTCTTGACATGCATCAATCTTGCTACACTCATTTATTGAACAAATAACTATTGATGACTTCTTCAGTTCTCTTGGGTTTGATATTTAGACTCACCGCATTTAAAATACGCATTCTGTGGGGACCATGTCATTACACATTTAGGTCYGATAAACCCAGCCAACTGAAAGTGTTGAAGCATTGCTATCCTTCTCTTGATCTTTCTTCAGATGTAGCTCCCAATGAGAACTTCAGAAAGTGAAACGCTTATCATTTTATGTTATACCACATTATCCTGGAACACTCTGCACAGAACAGTTTATTTAATCAGAACATATTTAATCATCAGATCTACCACTAATTTCTGGTCATTGTGCCTTCTGGTAGGTGCACCCATATAGCACTAAAAATATCAAAATATGTCATTGTTTACCTATCTCTGAAACCCACACCTCCTTGGGGAACTGCAGTGATTAAATCCACAAAGGTGATATGAACCAATGGATGCTTAAGAACGTCCTAGTCTTATGGCTTCCCCACTGTTAAACTGCTAGACTTGTGCAGGCAAACTCTCTCACCTTCTGGCAGCATCAAAGGGCTGTTTGTCTCATGTGTGCTGAGGAAGAAGTTTGCACCCATTGGGTCAACTGCTACCTCTCTAGCTCTGCCCTGTTCTCTTCAGGCTCCAATAAAACTGCTGGAGCTTTTGTGGGTTCCATATAGAAAGAGAAAGGGAACACTCCTCTCCCTAATTCTGTGTCCCACCTGTCACCTGGGCCCTGAGCTGTAACTTCTTGGCACACAAGTAAAGGGTTTCCTTGGATTATGCCTGTTACCCCTCTACCTGCCCAATCACCTTATGAGAGGACAGTTAAGATGGGGGAGCCATACCATCCCCTCCATTTTTTCAACTCTCCCCTGTCTCCCCGAGGTACCCATGAACAAACCTCAGCCAAAAAAGTAAAGTCTTCTCCATCATCCAAATAAATAAATAAATAAATAAAAAGTCTATGTGGATACAATTTAGGCAGATCCATGCCTGTGAATCACAGCCTCATCTTCCCAGTTTAAATTTAGGCTCAGCCAGGCCCACGCTGCTACCCATTCATGAAGTTGTCTGGATTTGTTGAGCTAATAACCACAGGGGTACTGAGACGTCACCAGGATCTAGTGGTGTTCCAAGTCACCAGCCACTGTAGATAGTCAACATGAGGGCTACCCTCCTCCCCATAAAGGGGTTACAGTACTAGAGAGAAGATCTGCTCCTGAGGAGCTTATTAATTTATTTCAGCATGATTTTTCATCAAATGAGATGGAGCTTAAAACTTATAATTTGAGGTCTTTGATTCTGGAATGAATGACTGGAGATCCTRTTTCAAATAGAGAGGTAAGAGAAGATGAAGTCATAAACAGAACATTGCCTTCTTACTGACATCTAGCACCTTGTGTATAGCTGAGAATTATTTCTGTGGCTTTCAACACCATATGAGGGTTTATTCTCAGACTTTCAGTTTTCTTAAAGCAGGAGAAGCAGGGATTCATGGAATCCGGATATAAGGAAAAGCATAACAACCTTATCAATTTGAGGAGACAGGAAGACAGAAAACATGAGCAGAAGATGTAGTTCTTTGTGCAAACACAGTGTGCCACATTTTACTGGCCCGGGTCCACGGTGCTAGATGTCAGTAAGAAGGCAATGTTCTGTTTATGACTTCATCTTCTCTTACCTCTCTATTTGAAATAGGGTCTCCAGTCATTCATTCTGGAATCAAAGACCTCAAGATCTTGAAAACAACCCAGTCTGGATTTGAAGGATTCCTGAAAGACCAGTTCACCACCCTTCCTGAGGTGAAAGACAGATGCTTTGCCACCCAAGTGTACTGCAAGTGGCGCTATCACCAGAGCACATACATGGACTTTGAAGCTACTTGGTATGACTGAGTGTTAGGATGTGAAGTGCAGGCAGGTGATATCTGCCCTTTTCCCAGGGGCCTAGAATTCAGAGTCTTAGATATAAATGGAAAATTTAGAGGCCATTCAACTCAATCTCCCCATTGTTCAGAAATCCCTTCCGTATTTTGCTTAAATCAGAGTCTCTCTAGAGAGCATCAGAATCACCTGAAGGCTTGTTAAAATAAAGATCACTAGGCCTACCCCCACCGGTTCTGATTCTGCAGGTCTTGCGGGGGAGACTAAGAATTTGCCTTAGTTATAAACTCCCAGGTGATGCTGACGCTGCTGGACTTTAAGAAACACTGCATCACATGGAGATAATATCTAGCCTCAGTRCCTCACAGTGATGCTGAGATGGCTGAACCAGGGTGACCAACCTTTCCCAGTTTGCCAGGGACTTTCCTGGTTTCAACACTGAAATTCCCATGTCCCAGGCAACCCTTTGATCCTGGGCAAACTGGGATAATTGGTCAACCTAGGCTAAATGCAAAATAATAGGATATTCAGAGAAGTGCTCTGTAAATGGCAAATTCTTTAAAAAGGTAAAGGTATGATTATTATTATAATATCTTTGACAAGGAGTAATTAGGCTGCTGAACTCCCTGGGCTTGCTTTTTAACTAGGTATCTTATTTCTTCACTGAAGCTCTAATTGTTAGAAATTTCTACCCTGGGTTGAGCCAGAATCTGCTCCTCCCCCATGCAGTTTCCTCCCACTGGTATAGTTTTTCTCTGTTTTTTTTTTTTTTTTAAATTATGTGATAGGTTTTTAAATGCTTGAGGACAACTTCACCTCAGTCTTCTGTTTTCCCTTTTTAATTTCAAGTACTCCTCTAGGCATAGGCAGCAGGAGCCTGCTATATTTATGTTGAAAAGAGCATGAGATTAAACATGCCAAAGTCAGGGTAGTGTTCTGGGTCTTTCACTTAAGACAAAGACTCAGAGTAGATCACAAACTTTTGTACTCAGATTCATCATCTCTAAATTGGGGAGAATAGTAGTGTCTGCTTCAGCTACATTGAGAAGTCAATGACAATGTCCCATAAAATGCTTAAGCTGAAGTTTGGCAGGGAGTAAAACTCCAAAGGCAACAACAGTCAAGGAACCAGCCTATCAGGGCTGTGAGTGGGTTAGAGTATTTGGGTGTTCGCTTCACAGGTTCTTCAAACATGGTGAGAGATTTACTTTAAAAAGTCCATTAGGGGGGCTGGGGGATGTGGCTCAGGCGGTAGCGTGCTCGTCTGGCATGCGTGTGGCCCGGGTTCAATCCTCAGCACCACATACCAACAAAGATGTTGTGTCCTCCGAGAACTAAAAAAAAAATAAATATTAAAAATTCTCTCTCTCTCTCTCTCTCTCTCTCTCTCTCTCTCTCTCTCTCTTTTAAAAAAAAAAAAAAAGTCCAGTAGGCCCTGGTGCCAATCTAGTACATTCAGTGTTTGCTGAGTGGTATGTGTGTGTATGTGTTTGTATATCTGTAGGGAAATGGGAAGTGAGTTTTGTTTTGTTTTGTTTTTTGACTTTATGGGAGAATAATCTCTTATAAAACCATCAATACGATTGTTTTCTGGGGCACAGAAATGTCACTCCTTAAATAATGTGTTCTTATAATGTGTTTCCCTGAGAGTCCTTAGTCTCCTTCCCTGCGTTTCAGGGACACTGTTCGGGACATCATCTTGGAGAAATTTTCTGGGCCTTATGACAAAGGCGAGTACTCACCCTCCGTCCAGAAGACCCTCTATGACATCCAGGTGCTCACGCTGAGCCGGATTCCCGAGGTGTGTTTTGTCACTCGCCATTCTGAGGATTTGGAGAACTTGTGTCTCCTGTCAGCTCTGAGAAAGAGTTGAGAGTTAAAATAGGAAAGTGGAAGACACATGAAAAATGACATCTGTTGTTGTTCAAAAGCTTGTTATAGCAAGTGAGAAGAGAGCAAAAATGGAAAAATCTGCTCAGCCTAAAAACACAGGCCACTGATATAGTTCTTTAGTTTTGTTGAAAATGCTTTGAATCTTTTCAGCCTGCCACTTATTTAAGTCATTCAGGACACTTCAATGCCTTGATGAGATAATTAGATGTAGCTTCTGTGTTTTAGTGGTTCCAGAGAATGAAAGATAGTTGTAAAAGGGATTCATTCTATCAATCCATCTATTTATTTGATGTTATTGGTTATTATGCCTCTGGCAGTACACAAAGGATACAAAGATAAATTAGACAATATCCTACCCCCCCCAAGTGGATAATTCAGTGAACAAAGAAAATCTGTAAACACACACTACAATAGAAAGGTAGATTATGATGGAAATACAGAGAATGCATTTAACTCAGGCATTGGAGACAGGGAGAGCCAGATTTTCCAGAGGGAGATGTGAATGTGTTCAGTCTTTAGGGACAAGTAGGGGTAATTTGGGCWTCTATGCTAGGGTGAGGAAGCAGAGTAGGTATGGCAGTTACAACATAATATTATTATTTACTACTAAGAGTCAACAATATATGGAGTGCTAGAACTAAAAATTCCTCCATGTGAGTCCTTCCTTCTACATATATGACAGAAACTAATCAAGAGGGCCTTTGTAGACTTATTTATATAGCCTTTACTTTATCCTGAGAGCCCTTAGGAGCCACTGAAGAGTTTAAGGCAGGTGCGGTGTGGCCTGATTTGCACTCTAGAAAGAATACTATGCCAGCAGTATGGGGCCTCAGGCAAGGGAACCTGTTGGGATGCAGAAATATGCAAGGGGCCAAGCCATGATGGAGTTGGAAAGGAGAAGTACACCCCTTAGACCTGGACAAGAGGGTCTTGTGCCACACGGGTCAGCACTTCAGAGACCCCCTTCAGACCTTCCTCTGGCTATGCCTCCTTCTGTTGGGTAAAGAGTTGGTGGACCCAAGGCAACAAACTCTGCAGAGGCTCACACAGTCTGCCAAACTTCCTGCCCAAATAGCTCGGAGATTCCTTCCAGAACCTGGGCAAATCTCTTCTAGAGACCTAGAGGGCACACGGTGCTATTGGTGTGTCCACCGTTGGACCTGAGAGTGGACAATGGGGCAGATGTTTGCAGGAGGTATTGATGGGACTTGGCATGTGATCTGGAGTATCTGCCCACACGAGTCCAAGAAAAAGGGTGGAGTGGTCAGGAGCAGAGTTGGCTCTTTCCATGTAGTGTGTTTTGAAATGACACGTCAAAGMACTGGAGGATTTGACATTAAAACCTGGCCTTCCATGTTGTTATGAAAGTATATTTGTCAGGTTAGGATAGACATATTTCACTTAACATTTTTAAGCTTGATTTATAACTTTTAAGTCTTTATACACATGGGGACAGGCTTGGAGAGGAGGGAATGGAATGAGGAGGAGTTTAGGATGTTGACTGGTCTGTTCCTGGAGGCCAGTTGGATGCTGAACAGTTCTCCTAGGTTTCTAACTTGAGGAGCACTTATTTTTTCAGAGAAGCAGGTTTTGTATACTGAGGGGAGAGAAGTGGGCAGCCATCTAATAATAGCACTAGCCAGAAAGAACAGAGTTGGGCAGTAGAGGAACACCAGAGGGTGTCTCGAGGACACAGCTAGAAATTGTATAAAGGTCTAGTGGGGGCTGAGGGGAGTGGAGTGACAGAGAGTGTGAGACTCACAGTTGCCCAATGTGATGCATGCTATTGTGGATTCCAGATCGAAGACATGGAAATCAGCTTGCCAAATATTCACTACTTTAACATAGACATGACCAAAATGGGCCTGATCAACAAGGAAGAGGTAAGAGAAGTTTAAAAAGACTTAAAGCACATTTCTGCTATCCCCTCCCCCCACCTTAATGCCTCTTTGTAAACTTGAGATGATAATATCACTGACTAAAACTCTTTAAAAGCTGTTGCTTTGGGGAATATTTATAGTTGCCACTGATTAGAGCCCTCTTAGACTATGGGACTTTCAATGCCTGAGGCTGAAGTACCCCAGAAGTGGACCAGTGATTACAGGGGAGGGTGGGAAGTTGCAGAGAGGACGAGACAAAGAAGGAACAGAGTGTGCCCAAGGAAACAGATCTGCTTCTCAGAAAACTGCCACACAAGGTCGCCGCTTCATTATTCCTCCATCACGAGGCAATGAAGAGAAGAAAAGATTCTATTTTCATTTTCTTTCATCATCTCTACCTTTTGATTAAGTAGTCAATTCAGCAGCACACAATACACCCAGGAAAGATGAAAGCGTATTTGTGTTTCTAGTTGCAATTACAGGAGGCAAGATGAGGAAATTCATCTATTGAAAGGAAAGTTTTGTCTTGGAAAATGCACTGGCCCTAATGTGCTTCAGCTATGGCAGAAGGTTAAACCACTCAGTGTGTCTGACTAGGCAACCCAATGTCCTGACTGGTGGTCTGTGTGGTCAGTTCCTGGGAGATTAGAACTGTCTCTCCCCCATGGGCCACTTTCAAAATGGTAGAATTTCTCCATTGCATTAGTCTGAAAATAGCATTTGGGTCATTTCTTTTAGTATATGATAGGGAGTGAAATAGGAAAGGGGCCATCTATTGGCATGGCTCTGCTGCTATACACTCACACTTCTTGGTAGACAAAGATTAATAAAAGGGTCTCCAGAAGGTCCCCCATTCTGGGCCTGCTAACCAGCTGCAGGTGGATGCTGGAGGATGACATTGAGAAACAAACGTCACACTTAGGTATGTGTAGAGGTGATCTCAAGCTTGCTGTTGCAGGGGAGGGCAATTTTAGTTCCTTGTATTGTTTGTTCTACTAAAAGGAAAGGCAAAAATGTTTGCCTCAGAGGAAAGAATGGAAGATGATTTCCAGAATTTCATTAGTTAGGATTTAAAGTGTTATTCCTATGATTATCTGCCAAAGGGCCAGAGGGAGATCTGAGAGGAATCCTGGTCACATCCACCAGAGGCAAAGCAAATCGGCCCAGTCAGAAAAAGCATCAGGTATCATGACTAGAGTTTAGCTCAGGATCCCAGGCAAAGAGAGGAGGGTTTCTTGGGTGCTCCTGAGCCTCAGCCCTGCACTGATCCTTCTAAGGGCTTGCTTGTAGGCTGAGGTCTCAGTCGCCCTCCCTCTGAGAAGTCAGACTCACAACCCCCTTCTAAATCCCAGCTGGGTTTCTGGAGGCCGAAAAGCCCAATTTACTTGGGTCAGGTCTCTGTATAAAGGCATCTGAATGGCTGAAGGAGTTGTCACTATACCTTGGGGATGACTGAAGCCACTCTCAGACCGTCACTCGGGTGTGTACAGAGTGGAGGCAACACACAAGAAGCAGGAAGTCAAGGCCCACRGACAGCAAAGAAAAGTGACAAATGACAGGGTAAGAATAAAAAGGAACTCAGAAATCAGAGCTGCCTGGAGCCCTTAGCACTGAGCTGGCAGTCCTGTGGACCTCAGATGCTCTCGAGGGCATGGCTGGATTGTATCATTGGATCATGATCGATATGCAAAGTGAGTCATCAAGAAAAGGTCAAATTGTATTAACTATACTCTACTTAAAAGCAGGGACATATAATGCATTTTAGAAGCATTTATATCCCAGTGATTACAAATTAAAAAAAAAAAAAAAACAACTCTTTAATTTTCTGGGAAACTGACTCATCTCTCAACTAAGGCCAGAAAAAAATAAAGCAATACCATGCTTGAAGTGACTTTACTGTAGGGCATTTTACTGTTTAACAAATTGTTTTTGTTGTTGATTTAAAATTCATAGAAAGGAAAGGGTTATTTTGATGTCTCTGAAGTTACCGTGTGTGTTTCTGTTTTTTTTTTTTTTTTTTTTTTTTTCCCCTACAGGTCTTGCTGCCATTAGATAATCCATATGGTAAAATTACTGGTACAGTCAAGAGGAAGCTGTCTTCAAGGCTGTGACCTTGTGGTATAGGAATCCATTCTCAGTTGAGAAACTACTTCATTTGCGATGCTGCAGATTGTAGGTGTTAGTCATTTAGTCATGCAACTTTTCAATGTAGTACATTAATTATTCACTTTCCTCCTGTACTTTTCTGATACTTGACTCAGCAAGGCATTTTGTGGATTACCTTATTAGTAATAATAACATGCTCTGTGGATAAAATTTACTKTAAAAACCTTGAACAGTATTAGAACAATCACAAATCAATATTTCTTTTTGGTGGTCTTGTGCCTTCCTGTCTTGGAGATTTAGAATCAATTCATTAATGAAATAATTATGAATTAATGGAGGTGCCACATCAATTAATTTGAGCATGAGTTGAAGAAGCAAATATTGTTTTCATTGTAGCAATGCTTYTGGGGAATGCAGAAAATATAATAAAAGCATATTGAAAAATATCATCATGGGGATGCCAATTAACTGAATATTTGAATTTTTAGAAATTCTTTAGCATAAGAATCATTGGTAGTTTATTTCTACTCTGAGTAGTTTTATGATCTTTTTAAAAATTTTTTGATATTTATTTTATTTTTTTTAGTTTTTAGGTGGTCACAATATCTTTATTTTTATGTGGTGCTGAGAATCGAACCCAGTTCCTCACACATGCTAGGTGAGCGCTCTACCACTTGAGCCACATCCCCAGCCCCTAAATTTTTTATTTGTTTTAATTAGTTATACATGACAATGGAATTTACTTACATACTTTGATATATCATACATAGATGGGATATAATTTCTCATTTTTCTGAGTATACATATTGTAGAATCATATTGGTCATACAGTCACATATATACATAAGGTAATAATGTCTGTTTCATTCTACTTTCTTATCCCCACATCCCCTGCCTTCCCCTCCTTTCACTTCCCTATTAATGTACTGATTTTGTTACTTTTACAATCCTTAGAGAATACTTAGTACACATTCAGATGTTAAAATAAGTATAAGGTTTTTTTTTTGAATAAGCATCCCTTTGGCACAAAGAGCCATATTTAATAAATGTTTAGTCAGTACATGGATGAATGTATATAGATATAGAAAAATGGAGTGTGTGTGTGTGTATATATATATATATATATATATATATATATATATATATATCAGCAGAGATGATTTCTTGATGAGATTGAGTGGACTTTTAATTTTCACCTTGTACTTTTCTGAATCTTCCAAATATTAACATTTATTGCTTTCATCATCAGAGCACTGATGCTCTGTATCTGATTGTACATGATGTAGAATTATACTGGTCTTGTAATCGAATATGCACATGGGGTCAAAATGTCGATTCATCCTACTATCTTTGCTACCCACTTACCCCCTCCCCTCCCTTCACTCCCCTCTGTCGAATCCAAAGTACCTCTATATTCTTCCCTAGCCACCACCCCATGCTTATTGTGTAGCATCTCTATAGCTAAGATTGGCTTATTTCACTTAGCATAATATTCTCCATCTCCATCCATTTACTAGCAAATGCCATAATTTCATTCTTCTTTAAGGCTGAGTAATATCCCATCATGCATATATATATATACCACATTTTCCTTATCCATTCATCTGTTGAAGAAGGGCACCTAGGTTGGTTCCGTAGTTTAGCTATTGTGAATTGAGCTATTATAAACACTGATGTGGCTGTGTCACTGTAGTGTGCTAATTTTAAGTTCTGAACAGACACGTCAGAGAAGAAGAAATACGAATGATCAAATGAAAAAATGTAAAATATGAAAAAAATGTTCAATGTCTCTAGCAATTGGAGAAATGCAAATTAAAACTACACTGAGATTTCATCTCCAGTGATAATGGCAAGTATCAAGCATACAAGCAACAATAAATGTTGATGGAGATGTAGGGGGAAAGGTCTACTCATACATTGCTGGGATTGCAAATCGGTGCAACCACTCTGGAAAGCAGTATGGAGATTCCTCAGAAACTTGGAATGGAATGATCATTTGATCCAGCTATCCCACTCCTTGGTTTATACCCAAAGGACTTAAAATCAGCATACTTCAGGTAGTATGGTTTTATTAGTTAACTTTTCATTACTATAGCAAAATACATGAAGCAATTAACTTAAAAACCAAAAGGTTTATTTTGGCTTATGGTTCTAGAGGATCCAGTCCAAGATCAGGTAGCCCTTTGCTTTGGGCCTCTTACAAGACCAGCACATCATGGTGGGAGCACCTGAAGGAGCAAAACCACTCATATCATAGTCAGGAAACAAGAAAGAAGAGGAGGAGACCCAGGTCCCACAATCCTTTAAAGAGTATGCCTCCAGTGATCTAAGGACCTCCCCTTTGGGCTCATCTCTCAAAGATTTCATCACTTCCTAATAGCACCACCCTGGGGACCAAACATGTAACACATGGACCTTTAGAAGCACTCATCCAGTAGTGTAGCAGTTAATCACACAAACTCACTAAGTCCCGACTCCAGCTTTTTCTATATATATGAGGTTCCTCATCTGTGAAGTGGAGGTGAAAATAGAAGTCCACAGGTAGGAATAGTCCACAGGTCTTCTGAGGATTAAATGGGAYAGTATTTGTAAAAAAGCTATGGTAGTATATGACAAACAGAAATTTCTGTGTGTTTGTTGAATATAATAAATATCCTGTTTTCTTTTCATTGTTACTATACTCAAATAGGAAGTCATCATTGGCCTCTGTGGGTCCGGCAAGAGGTGGGTGACCTTCAAAGCAGCAAACCCTACCAGATGCGGGGGGCCATTCACAAGCTAGGGCCTGCTTGGAAAGAACATAGGATAAGAAAGATGAAATGATTTGATAAGGCCAGTTTGGGCTGCATTGAATACTCATGTTGCAAAATGTGCTTCTACATCATGTAACTTTCATGGCCAAATGGCTGGTACATTTTATTCCTCTGCTAATTTGATAATTCTGTTCTAGAGGAAAGAGACTAGCATGACTTTTCCTAAAAAAAAAAAAAAAAAAAAAAAAAAAAACAACCAAAAACTGAATTAGGCCTCTCTTATTTGACATTTCCTTGTTCAAGTAAATTTTACAAACACTATTTTTTCATTATCAGAAAAGAAGCCTATATTTGAGCATAATCCTTAGAAATTATGGCCTATTTCTTACATATATGCAATTTTGCTTCTCCTGAACTCTTACTATACTTACTACAATAGATTACAGGTGAGTTATAGGATGTCCCATATGTGCGGAGGGAATGCCTGTCTCTGTCAAACTGTCAAAAACCAAGTTTTTTTTTTTTTTTTTTTTTGCGTGTGAATGTTTTCTTGTGGTTAGAGTTTTAAACTGTGAGCTGAAAACGAGCTTTGGGTTTTACCTGCTCCTTTTGGCTCTGGCAGGCCTGAACTGTAAGCATCTACAAGGTAATTTGTATCCAACCCTTGGTAATTTTTGCTCCAGAAAGCTACAGGGATTCTGATAAAATTTCCTGGGAGGCAGAGCTGCTCTCCCAACACTGTCCCCTCTCCTTCCCCCAACCCCATCTCACCATGGAAGAGTAATGCAGGTGATTCCAAGGTCACGATTCCAAGGTCATGTACTTTGCATGGTATCTGAGAAAAACACAGGCTTTTATTTGGGGCTTGTGATTTTGGCAGCCAAGAATCTGGAGGCTTGCTCCATATGCTCTCATCCCATATCTTTCATGATCTCATTCCATAACTGTTCATAGCAACAGTCTCAGAGAATAGAGACCATTACTTACTTTCTTCCATTTTTATTTTGTATCAGGGATTGAACCCAGGGGCACTTAACTTCTGAGCCCACATCCCTTTTTATTTTTTATTTTGTGACAAGATATCACTAAGTTGCTCAGGGTCTCACTAAATTGCTTAGGCTGGCTTTGAACTTGCAATCCTCCTGCCTCAGCTTCCTGAGCGGCTGGGATTACAGGTGTGCSCCAGGGTACCTGGCTCCATTCCTTTCCTTTTTAGAGTCAGGCTTAAATTCATACCATTCTTTATGTTTAGAAGCCAATTTTTTTCTCCCTTAGAAATAAATCTTTTGAGACATGTTTTACTTATTTATCGCTGAAGCAGAATTTATCTTTTTCAATCATCTGTAGGTTTTAACTGCAGAAATCTGAACTTTTTTTCCTAACTTTTTCATGCTTTGTCCAGAGAAAGAAGATTGCCATTCCTTCAGACTCTGAGCTGTTTGAGTTCACCTTTGTAGGAGCCTTTGCAAAACCTAACTTCTGCCTCTGCTCTTGAACTTAGCTTGTTTCTAAAGACATGGATTTTTGAGTTTCCTAACCATATACATCTGCTTCCAAAGGTTTCAAACTCAGTTTTTTTTTTTTTTGTCTTTTTCAGTCTTTGCTTTTATTTTTTTTTCCTTCCTTACAGCAAAGTGGCCTCTCATGTTTTCACATGCTCAGACTCCCTTCTCAGAAATTCTGGAAGGGTGTTGGAGGCTATTGAGACAGTATTGAGAATATAGTGGCTATGGACCTGTTCCTAGCACACTGCAGAGAACCATAATTAGACCAAAATCTTACAACTTTTTATTGGGGGGATGAGATGGCAGCATATGACAATATTGTAAGTTTTAACTGAATGGTGAAAGGGAGCAGTGACACATATAACTCAGATCATTGCATTCTTAGAAAAATCATAAATAAACATCTAGTTGAAATAAACATCTAGTTGTTTTATTTTAGATAGGTGGCAACTGAAGAGGAGAAATGAAGAGACATGTGCAAGTTACCTGTCTCTTCACTACTGATTGTTCAGTAGCTAAGTCAGCAGCAGACTGGAGACTAGAACCCAGGTCTTCTGACCCCTACTCTGGAACGCCCTTCCTCCTCCACTGTGGATTCATAGCACCAGTTTTCCTTCTTAACTATGTATGGAATAAGCCTGTGTTAATTTACTCTACGTACTACATACTCACCACACAGAAGGTGTATGAGCAATCTACACTCTGGTGGCTGGGAGAAATCACCTCAGCATTAAAAATTCATTGTAGAAATCGGCCCCAATAGATAATTAAGCAGACTGCCTAACTGGCTGTCAACCTTAAATTAATGAATGCAACTCCACTCAGACTTTGCTAAAAACTTTAATTTTTTATTTTTTTGCTGTCTGTTATTGACCCATACCCATCTTCATTAAAATCACAAAGGTATCACAATCTTCCCTTCCTTAGTTTCACAAAACCACTTTGAATGCCATTGAATATTCATTTAGAATTCACCAGTGCCTCAAACTAACTTCTTTAGGTCTTTAGGGGCCAATAAAAACTTACACGTATTTTTTTTTCAGCATATTTATTTTAACTCAGCATAACAATTTTTTTAGGGGCTTAAATAGAGTAAGGTTTTTTAAATTTTATTTTAGTTTGGCTTTTGTGCCTTTATGAAGATAAAATAGTA